TGCAGTTTCTGAAGTGACTTTGGGGCACTCTAGTTACTGACCTCCCAGTCCTTTAACTAGTTGTGTGATTTTCTGCAAGTTATATATTCCTCTTTTTTTTTTTTTTTTTTTTTTTTTTTTTTTTTAGTGCCTGCTGGATGATCCACCTATGTCACCGGAATGGGTAAGGATTAGAGGAATGATACATAAAGTATATGAGATACTTGCCAGAAGTTCCTTCTCTCCCACTTGGATAGTCTGGGGTATTCACTAAGATTATTCTGGTCCATGATGCCTCCCAGTCAAAAGGGAAGAATTCTGAATCCTCTCTTGCCTGACTTCCAATTCATACTCCACACTACTTTCTGAAAGATATCTCCATCCTTCTGTATGTTAGTAGGTTGTTACCTACTAACCTCTCAACCAGTGAGATTAGGAATGGCAGATGAAAGCACCCGAGGAAAAAACTGGAAAGTCTGGGAGTCATCACCTCAATTTTTCTCCTCTCATATATATAGTCTCCAATGATCCCCTCACAGAGACTTGGAAGAGACAAGAGGATGTGATGGGTGTGGCTATGCCCTAAAGGTGCCAGTGTTGCTAAAGAAACCAGCCCTCTCTCCTTTCCCTACACTTTAAACTGCAGGTGTGGCCTGTAGCCTGTGAGTGGCCATATTACCCATTGTGCCTCTCTTCCTACATGGGGTCAGAAATCTTTGCTTTCCCACAGGAAGGGATGAGAGCCTCACAGAGCATGTGAGAGACACTTGAATCTTGAAAAGGATCTCAGTTCTAGGTGGGCCTGCTTGCCTCTGCTCCATCCTCTCCTTGTAGCTGTGGGTGTTGAGTGGGCTGAGCCCCGACCCTGGACCGACACAGCTAATCCCCCCAACCACCCAGCTGATTGTGCCCCTAGCCCCTTCCCTACTCACTCTTAACCTGGATGCTTCTCGCTTCCTTTCTTTTTTACTTCTTCGCACCTCGTCTAAGTTGGCTTGACCCTGGACAACCTAGAGAACTTCATGTGCTTGGACAGCCATGGAGCAGGCCTGCCTTTCTTGGGCCCAGGACTCAGCTTTCCAGGGCCCAATACTTTTGTTTTAACCTTTTCCCTGCTGGATCTCCTCCTGCCAGTGTGTATATTTTCTTTTTTTACCTCCGGCTGCCTTCTCAGCCTCCTTTCTTGCCCACTTTCCTTCTGTGGCAGCCAGCCAGCTTGACAGCTGAGAATCTGAGGGGAAATGCAGTTCCGGGGTTAGAAGATTTAAAGTTTAGGACCCACTTCCGCTTCATAAGCCCTACGCAAACTTGGTAAAAAAAAAAAAAAAAGGAGGAAGAAAGGAAGGAAGAAGAAAGCAAGCACATGTGATCTTCAGTTTGGAAAATCTGTAAAATAGGGAAAGTTGTAATACGGAAATCAGGAGGAACTTTTGGGTAAGAAGCAGACAGTTGTGACCCACAAGGAAGAATTTCTTGGAAATAATGTGATGCTGAACCCCACAAACTCTGCTGCTACCTTTTTGTACCTCTGTTGTCCCTAACTGTGAGGCTTGCCCACTATTCTACAGAGAAAGCTGGCTGGACAAAAAGAAGCCCAATTAAGCGGCCCAGGAATCAGACACTCTTGACTGAGCCTCTCCATCTTTTTTTTCTACTCCAACAAAAAGTAGATGGGGCTCAGGCAAAGGTGTCTTGTTTCCTCATGCTTAGCACAGACCCATTTTGTAAACTCCGGGAGGATGGAAGACCTAAGACTCAATAGTCCTAGTCTCTGTTTCCTTAATATATCAATGTTGGACTAAAGCTAAGTTATTCGTAAGATTCCTCAGAAGGGGGAATTTCACCAGAACTCTTAAAAGCCTGAAGATCAAGAAAAGACTTGAGCCCTTTTACTCAATCCTTGTTGATGCATCCCATGTCCCAACCCCCCAACTCTGATCGCTAGAGTGACCCACTGCTGTCTCCATTTACCTTCAAGATGGAAGCCAAATGTTTCCTACGCATGGGTCATATACCCCCAACAACATGTCCTGAGACAACCCAGGTCTCCTTCAAGAAGACAGTGAAGCCTCTGTTCTTCCCTAACTCAAACCAAACCCTCTGACCTCTGATTTCTCTAATATTCCTTCTTCATTCAAATAGGGGTGGCTACGAAGATTCAGATGTAAAAACCAATCTAGGAGTCAGTTTTAATATTCCCATGTCAAACAAGTGGATGGTGTTAGGACTAGAAGGGACCCGGCTAGAGAGAGGCAGTGAGGGTACAGTCCCAGAACTTACCTCTGGGCTCCCACACTCTTTGGCTCTCCATCCCTGCTCATCAGAGGTCTGCCAGGGTCCTCCCCACAGCCTCTGGGGGAAATGTGCACCTACTACCTTAAGCAGGGACTCATTGACCCCACTCTCAGTCTTCTGAACAGAGGTTACCTCTCATTGGATGACTCAATCAGCCCTTGGAAGTTGCTCCCCATGAACATTTATATCCTAAGAAGGCAAAAGTTCATAAACCCAAAGGAATGAAGAAAGCTGGTGGGGGTGTGGGGTCCAGTAGCAGTAAGCATGTCATTACAGAGCTCTGCTTGCTAGATGTTGGCTGTTATGCCGGAACTTGGACAAGGGTGAAAGATGAGCAGGGATGGAGAGCCAAAGAGTGTGGGAGCCCAGAGGTAAGTTCTGGGACTGTACCAGATCCTTCAGCAACTGCTGGAACTAAAGAACATAACAGAGCACCAGAGGCCTAAGAGCTTCCTTTGTAGTTGCTGAGTTTCTTCTTTCTCTTATTGCCATGGAAACCAGGGTTGACTTGCAAACACCCCTGAGGTTTTTTCAGCTGGGGTCCTGGCTCTGTACCTACTTTCCTAACCCTTTGCAGCCACAGCAGTCTTAGGGGATGAGGGGGTTGCTTTCTGCCTGTGCTCTGGCCTTCTCACGAAGGTAGAAATGATGTTTTGGCAAGGGACCCAGGAGGAGAAAGCCAGAATCATCGGGCCTTGGCTGACTGGAGAAGTACAAGGAGTCACTCTTTGCCTAGAAGGAATACTGAAGTTCATCTTGCACTGTTTTGCTTTTATAAGAGTTTCCATGGCTGTTGAGCAGGGGTTGAATACCCATAGAGGGAAGCTAGACTGCGTGATCTCCGATAGCTTTGCCAGCTCACTAACATGCTATCATTTATCAATAATGTTTGCAATGATGCATATCATTAATAATAATGACTCTTATCAC